CGGTTGCAGGGTTCGAAGGCTCCATACAGCCCCAGGAAGCTCTTACTGTACGTGAAATGAATTTCTTGCTGGTCGTTTCATCTTCTTTTGGGGTTGGGTTACGGACCCGTGGCAGGATGATGCCATACGAACTATAAATCGAGGCTCTGCTTCCTTCTGCAGGTCTCTTGGGTTGTCTCCGCTGAAGCATTCGGTACGTTGAATAATTTCCACTCAAGAAAACAAAAAAACCCCAAAAAAAAGTCATTCAGCCAAAAACAGGAAACACATGGCCCAGGGCAGCATCTCTGATTTGAGTACACCGGTTCTTATAACGAGCCCGGCAGCAACCTGACTCTACCCCAGCAGAGGCTCCGTGAACCGAGGCATGGGCTGCAGCGCGTGTCTCTGGCTGCTTATCTCTCTCGGCCGCGTTTGGGGTACGTACATTTTCCTCTCCGTGAAATACTCGGTTCAGATCGTTTTGGGGATTTGTGTCAGAGATGCAGAAGTCGGGAGCTGTGTGCCCGGCGGACGGGAGTCTAAATATTCCTGTCGAAGATAAATGGCTCGCGACTCCAAGCTGGATGCGTGGTGCATCCCCAAGATGCTCCTGCTGGTCAGGCTGAGGGAGGAGAGGATAAAAGATGATGAATGAACGAAGACGGTGATGGACGAAGTGTAGCTGCAACGGTGAAGCGCTCTGCCGTGAGTTTTAATGGGGTATTAATAGCACCGAGCAAAGAATTTGGTACCCGGCGTGGGTTGGGGTACTCGGGGTGAAGGTCCGTGGCGGATCGTCTCTCTGCGACACCGGGTGTTTTGGAGCGGGAGGTGCCGGTGGGCTGGGGGACGGTACCCGAGCAATCAGACGCGCACGAGGTGCGTGGAAAGGGACTGGCGGCGGGACAACACCTGTTTTCCGGCGGCATGGAGAGCCCCAGCCGGCTGTGGACGGTGTCCTGGGGACAACGGTGTCCTCGAGGCGTCGAAATCCACCCCCCAGACCAGCTGGTCAGGGAGCGAGGACCACGCAGACCCCCCAGGGCGCCTGGGTCCTCTCGTCCCGCTGCCCGGGGGATGCTGCAAAATCGGTTTTGGTGGCGCTGAGCCTGCGCGGACGCGCCCGGGTGAGGCGGGACCCCTGAGCCGAGCAGAGCAAAGGCAGCTGTGCCTAATCCTGACCGTCGTCTTGGTGCCAGCCTGGTGTCCGCTCCCATCCCCTGGGGACACCGCGCGTCCCCACAGCCCCCGTGAGCCCTCCGCCACTGCATCTGTCTAATTACCGGGTGTAAAACGAAGGGCTCGGCCGGGAAACTGCAGACCTTGGCAGGGCTGGGGTTTCTCCTCGGCTCTGCTGGCTCGCTGTTACTAGAATACCTGCCTTTCAGATCCCCCCGGGGTTTTCTGCCTAGCCGGCACAGCGAAAGTCCCACGACCCCAATA